CACATAATCGTCGACGACTGCAGCCAATGCTAGCCTTTCGATCTCCTCGTTCTTTTCTTGGTGCATTTTATCACAAAATGTCTCGAAATCACAATCAGATTCGTCCTGAAGCTTTAGTTCATAGTCGGAACTGTCACTATCCAATTCCTTAGCAGACTTTTTCTTAATCTTCGTGGGTGGTGCAGAACATTCAGAACTTTCTCCTATTTCAAAATCTTCCAATCCAATGCATTTACCCGGTGCGATGTTAATTTTCTTTTTTCTTTGAGTTCTAGCTCTCTTTTTGTTCCTAATACCCTGTAGAAATTGTAAAACTGTGTCGTTTAAACTGTTTCCAAAACTTTCATTTGATTCAGTATCATCAGTACCAGACAATTTCTTTAGTATTTGATTTCTGTCTAAAGGGTATATACCCGTTGCCCGAAAGCCACTTTGAAGGTTTTGTTCACCAGTTTCTGCGAATTTTAACATCTGCTTTTATAAAAGTTTTGGAAACATCTCCTTTGGAAGACCAGTTGATCCCGTTGCTAACTTATAATCGCTCAGTATTGCACGCCATTGTTTCTTCAGTGGTGCGAACACCGCGACATCCAGGGGTTGAGCGATATGCGTAGTATTCGGCGGTAAACATATGAATCGAATATTATTGTCAACCGACAGTCTGATAATTTGCTCAGAAAAATGTCTCGCAAGTTATCCCCGATTAATACTTTGACTTCTTCTTCATGTCTCGTGGAATAAATGAAAACAGAAGTAAACCAATTTAAAAATGTTGCAGAATCGAACCATCCATGAGCTGTTCGGTTGTATCTGGTTTTATCGGGTCCTCCTTCCGTCCAAGTTGACCAAAGGTTTTCTGCTTTGTAGACTACATACAGAGGCGGCAGAACTGAAGCGCTTCCACAAAACAACAAAGAAATGTTTGATTTTGATTGAGATAATAAACGTTCTGGGTATTTCACCCCTCTTTTAAAAAAGCATCTTGCAGACCCAGGATCATCCGATAAATTTGTCTCATTGAAATTGTATATACAATCGGGGGAAACTCCGTCTAGACATTGCTCAAGGTTATCAAAATAAGCAATGAAAACTTCTCTAGTGGAAGATGCTCTATTTGGGTTTATATTTTGAGATTTTCTTACACTTATTTCTCTGTTTCTTTTCAGATAACCTTTAATCCAGTCGATACCAGGCAAATTATTTTTAAACTGCTTAACTCTCTTACCCATTGTATCCAAATGGCTTTTCATAACATGTCGTAAATCGTCGTGAGTCAAAGGAAAGCCCCATTCAGCGGTTTTCAAAAGCATCTTGACCAGTGCCTTTTCTTCCTCGTTGTTTAAAACTGTGGGCCTTCCGACGTCCTTCATTTTTTTGTTGTTCAGTTTGTGACTTAATGTTCCTTTTGGGATTTTGTATTTCTTCGACGCCTTGGAAAGTGATAACTGTTTTGTTTTAATTTCACGGATTGCTTGATCCAAAGTATCAGAGGTGTAATTTTTGTATGATCGACTACCCAACTTTCTAACGTAATCACGCATTTTGGACTGAGATTATCGCACTACACTACCTATTGCACCACAACTGAATTTCCTAACCACACAATGTTCCTACCGCCAAGCCAACCAATGTTATACTGAGCTCTGAGCTGAGTGAATTTCATTCAAATGATTCAAAACGAGGTAGCGTAACGCCAGACAATAATATTTAGATGGAACTCGATTGACGCCGCCCAAGCACGTTCAATCCTGCCGTTCAATGTTACCCCCACGTTCCCAAAATAATTGACATATTTTTTGTATAAATTAATTAAAAATATTCAAAACCCTAATCATTTACGGTATTATGTAGAATAAGGTTCAAATAGGTACTAGTATCGTGTAAAATTAGTCATGAGAAGATATCTTTTGCATATCGCCGGCTGCAGACCAAAGTTTGAGAGATTTTTTTTACTACCTTTTATTTCAGAAACCATTTTTTATTTAATTTTTGTTAATTTTGAGAACCTGCCAGAAATTTTATCAGGAAGTCCAAGAAAAACATATTTGCAACCCTCAAAAAAATATATCGGCCCCAAAAAAAAAGTTTAGGCCAACTTGTAGAAAAATATAATCTTCATTGCAAAACTGTTCAATGTAACCCTCGGGTTCAATGTAACCCCGTTTTACGGTATTTTAATAAATTTAACCGCAAACCATCAGAATCGCTCCCCTTACGTGTGTTTTGGTGGTGAAAAATTATTAGGGTGGTAAAAGATTAGTGAATAATGGGAAAAAAATATGCCGACAAAAAGTTTTTTTTCTGAATAATGCTAGCTTGAACCCTAAACCAGCAGAATCATTCCCATTAAAGTTGGTTTGGTGGTGAAAAATTATTAGAGTGGTAATTAATTAGTGAAAAATGGGTGAAAACATATTACGTAGGTTAAATTGGATTCCGCTCATTTGTCCCCGCTAGCTTAAGGGTCTTAAGTTCCAGTAAACTCGGCAATTTTTTTATGTAGACGTTTAAGCAAAGACAATTTTCTGACGTAAAAGTGGTCTCAGTTAAATCGGTGAAAACTTTGTAGAATGGTAGTTTTTTTTCAAGTTAATCAAAAGTTTTTATTGTCCAAGACCCAGAAATCAATTGTTTTTGAGTTTTGCTCGGTAACATAGAAAGTGTCGGTTTTTAGTTCATTTCAGTAATATTTATTTAAATAACATACAGGGTGCTCTGAAATAAGTGTAACAAACTTCATGAAGTGATGAAAAAATAATCCTCTCTGTGAAAAAATAATAGATAACAGTTTGCTAGATAAATGTATGTCCGCAAGTGCTTGGTTTTCTGAGATAGGGGCTGTTGATTTTTTTTAAACAGACAATTTATTTATTTCTCTGAAACTAAAAATTGTTTTTTAAATTTTTCTTTTAATTTAATTCAAAAAATCTTTCCTACGTCTTTTTCATATAAGGAGCCGTTTTTATGCAAAAAAATAAAACATCTTAACATTTATTTTTCATTTCTTTAACATATTATCAAGAACTATCTAATACATTAAGAATAAACCGAAATAATAACAGAATGTAATAGGTATAAAATTTTATATAGCCACAAAGCTACACATTTTTTTCAAAATATCCTCTCTGAACTTAAACCCCATTAAGAGTCATATTTGCACAAATATTCCTTGTGTATTTCTTATTACATAAAAAAGATTTTAATAAAAAGTATTAAGTGATTCGATACATTAATGGTGCATATTTAAATTAAGGTAAGATTCGCCTTTTAGTCATTGTGGAAGGAAATATAGACTAGTTGAGGAATCACTAATTACCCCAAACCATGCATTTACTGAAAACTGATGTTGAAAATGAGCTGCAAAACCGGTATTCGTTTGTTTCGGGGTCGACTTGCATAATGCTACGCTTTATGCTTGTATAATGCGTATTCGTAATTATGGTAAGCATTCTGATAGCATATAGCTAATAGCATAATGCACTATGATACTGCCCAGAGGGCCATGTTGCTAGATAATTCACGCTGAACGCAGGGAAAACGGTGGAATACGCTCCTCTGTGGTCTGCGACGATGCAAGTTGACTCATACCCACCCATTTAGATAGCAAAATATTACTTATATTCATACCAAATTTTTGTTAAAAATTTTGCATAAATCTATCAAGTCCTCCTCCTCTGTCGTTTCATGTTTGTTGTAGAGTTTCATGAATGTGTGATACTAGTGACTGTATTATTGCAAGCACCTTTCACTTTAGAAATTAATAATTATAATAACATGTTAGTTGTTTGTTAATATTTAATATAACACAGCATAAATAAAACTGCTGCATTTACAACTATACATATTTTTTTTGTGTTTGTGCAATAAAAAGAATATACTCTATCCCACTAACATACGACTGTTTTAAATTCGTTTTAAGCTGTCGATTTAAATGGTCCAATGTACTGAATTGTATGAATTGTACAATAGTAAATTCTCCCCATTTTTAAAATACTGTTACGACAGATATAAACCTTAGATTTAAATATGAAGTCATAATATATAAAGTTAATAGTTTATAGAACAGCTGTAATTCAGATTTTGTTGTATGTAAGTATATAATTACTATCATAGAGTTTAGTATTGTAAACAAATTGGTTTTTAAATTATGTGATTTAAACGAAATGTAACAATACCTAAGTGATCAAATAGTGTAATTTATTTAGTCGAGTATTCAATTAGTATTAAAAAAACAAAAAAACTTACTTATTCACTCATTCTCCTAATCTTCTAAAACTATCATCAACGATCAGATTCACAGCGATAATCAGTCGGCGATATATGAAACTGTGTATAAATTTTAGTTACTTTTTAATCTGTAACGACTCGGTACTTTAACTATCAATAGCCGGTATGTTATATCCGTTACTTTCGGAACTTTTAAGAGTACATAAACTCAAAGCAAACAAATATTTAAAACTAAGTGAAATATTAGATCCTTTTTCTGGTTCCTGAATCATCCTACTGCCAATTTCTTATTATTTATATTAAAAATAGTATATTGCTTTTTATTACAGTTGTAATGTCTAATAAAGTAATAAAATAATGTAATATCAAAGAAACCCGGTACGCCTCTTTGGTGTTTACATTTCACGGAAAGCTTACCCAAATGTCTGATGAACACATTTGGCTTCATAGACGTCATTGTATTTATTTATAGATTTTAACTAAAATAATTTTAGTTTAGATGTCATACTAGTAGACCGTTTTTATTGGAATAATGATTAGACCAATTTACCTTTATACTTCTACTTGCACAGTAAAATATTCGTTGTCGCAGTAAACCAAAACAGTCGTATATTCGTGGAATAACCTATACACCAAATATGACTACCTTACCGACTTGGTACATAAATAACTATTAGCTGCCTTGTAGAATAACGTAACGACTAAATATTACTTTTGCAATGCGCATTAATGAAGTATAATAAATCATTTAAATGTATAACTTTTTATTTTAGGATTTGGAAAATTCCACTTTTCATTACTGACGATTTGCGGACTGATTTATTTAAACACTGCAGTGGGTATAACTATTATATCTTTTGTATTACCTTCGGCGACATGCGATTTCCAAATGTCATCTTCCGACAAGGGGTGGCTTACTGCTGCTCCTATGCTTGGTAAGTACAACTTGTACAATTGTCCAAAATTAAAATTTAGAAATTAACATTATTTAAAATTTAGCCATATGGCTCACACTCCCTCTAAGGGATAAAATCACTCATCCCAGATACCTACCATATCAAAAGGATTGAGTTCTGGTGGGACTCTTTTCATCTTATTGAGCCCTAGGTAACTTGGTATGCTGGAGTATCTCCCAAATTCTTCGTACACATCTGGACGTTGATAGCATTATACAGCTTTCTGCATGGGCTTGTAGAGATGTACCGGGTGGTCCAATAAGCCGATCGCTCGGCTATATATCAGAAAATATTCATGTTATAACTTGGGGAGAAAAAATTCCTTAGTAAACGTGACCAAAAGAAATCGCTGGAAACAACTTTCAAGTTTCTGGGTTAACCGCTAGAGGGCGTAATCTGTGAAGAAAAATTTGAAAACCAGTTTTTTGTAAAATATGTCCAATTATACCAAGTGTTAAATAAGTGAACTAGAAAGAGGGCTAAATTCCGCACAAAGTTGTTCAAGTACTTTTTTTTTATTTTTTCAAATAAAGGGTGGGGGAGGGTGGCAAAGTATTTGTGGATAAATACCTATAGCTTTGGTTTGGATCAACCGATTTTAACGAAATTAGTGTCATTAGAAAGAGTGTGGATAATTTAATCTACATCTACTATAAAACAATTGCATTTAATCTTAATTGTCATGGGTAGAGGGTACTTTCAAATAGAAAAAATTAAAATTTGTTTTTCTTTAAAATGTTTAATAGAAACACCTATTTATTGTTAATTATAACTGAACTGGATTAAATTCGTAACAAAATGGCACAAACCGCATGTTTATAGCTTTTGTCAAACTCGAGATATGAATAAAAACGCATAAACATAAGTATAGTATTGACTCACCCTTTATTATAACTTAAAATTAAATATGTGAAAGAATATACAAATATCTCAATCATTAAAACTTAATGTCCAATTAAATGTTCAAATTGTTTTCCATCGTTGACCACACAAAGATGTAATCTTTCGCGCGTAGACATAACAACTGCTTCAATCTAAGCTGTTGATATATTATTTATTGCGTTTATAATGCGCTGTTTCGTGTCATCTCGTGTGGTTGGTCGAGTTTGGTACACTAAGTCCTTCACCCGTCATGTTGTAGTATCATATCTCTTCTTGTTTGTAAGGAAATATCTTCCAATAAAACAGGCAACTGATTTTCCAGAAAATTCAAATATGTTTCGCCATTTAAAGTTCTATCAAAGAAATATGGACCTACGATCTTTCCATCAACTATACCACATCAAACATTAAGACTCCAACTACCTTGAACCTGCATCTCATGTATCCAGTGCGGATTTTCTTCAGCCCAATAATGCATATTATGCAGATTAACACCACCCGCACTATTAAACGTAGCCTCGTCTGTCCACAAAATCTTTGACATGATATCCGGTTGTTCTTCTAGCAGACCTAACATCCAATTGCAGTAATCCAGCCTTGCATCAAAATCTCTCTCATGTAAAGCTTGGTGGAGAACTACATGATAAGGATGCAGTCTAACAAACAGAACAAAAAATATTGGTGAAAAAGAAACCACTACATTTACTAAAACTCAAAAATCTTAAAAAATCCAAAATTGTTTCACAAGATAAATCGTGCATAAATATTTTTAGGAAACGGATAAAAGGATAAAAGCGCCGTGTTGCCGTTTTTATCGGAATATTAAAATAACAGTTGAATCTAAAGTTTAAAGGGAATTCCAAGTTTCTGACCTAAACGTTCACTTTATAGTATGAAAAACCAACCTGTGATGTTTTAAAATCCTTAGAACAGTAGTTTTGGGTATGTTTAATTCTATAGAGATTTGCCGACTACTTATATGTGGATTCTGTTGAATTAAAGCAAGAACATTGATTGAATTATCTTCGGTCATACCTCTACTACGTCGTTTAAAACAAGGACGATGAAAACTACCAGTTTCTCTTAATCTTCTTGCCTTTCTTTCAAATACTTCTTTGCCATAATGTCTCCTGTCAGGATATCTTACAGAATATATACGTGAGGCAATAGCGGCATTTTGGTGACATTCGAAATAAACTCCAATCATATCATACAATTCTGCATTGGATGTACTCATCCTGAATTATTAGTACTGATAATTAATATTACCAATATTAATATCTATTGAAAAAGTGCAATCTTCAATTTGAATTATAATATAACACTTCTTAACAATGTTTTGACTGCTGTCAATAAATAAACAATATGATCTCCCCGTCAAATTCATTGTTGTAGCCTACTTTTAGTTTCGAAAAAACTATTTTTAATCATCTGAAATAACAATGGTCAAAATGGATATCAATATTAAGATTCTTCTGCTATAAAAAAATTTGAAAATACCTACTGATTTATTTTTTAATTTAATTTATAATACAGGGTGAGTCAACCCTGTATATACTGTACTTATGTTTATGCGTTTTTATTCATATCTCGCGTTTGACAAAAGCTATCAACATGCGGTTTGTGCCATTTTGTTACGAATTTAATCCAGTTTAGTTATAATTAACAATAAATAGGTGTTTCTATTTAACATTTTAAAGAAAAACAAATTTTAATATTTTTTTATTCGAAAGTACCCTCTACCCATGACAATTAAGATTAAATGCAATTGTTTTATAGAAGATGTAGATTAAATTATCCACACTCTTTCTAATGACACTAATTTCGTTAAAATCGGTTGATCCAAACCAAAGTTATAGGTATTTATCCACAAATACTTTGCTACCCTCCCCCACGCTTTATTTGAAAAAATAAAAAAAAGTACTTGAACAACTTTGTGCGGAATTTAGCCCTCTTTCTAGTTCACTTATTTAACACTTGGTATAATTGGGCATATTTTACAAAAAACTGGTTTTCAAATTTTTCTTCACAGGTTACGCCCCCTAGCGGTTAACCCAGAAACTTGAAAGTTATTTCCAGCGATTTCTTTTGGTCACTTTTACTAAGGAATTTTTTCTTCCCAAGTTATAACATGAATAGTTTCTGAAATATAGCCGAGCGATCGGCTTATTGGACCACCCGGTACATTCAGAACTTGCTTTTTTATGTTTTCTAAGAGGTTCTTTGGAATGCATCCAGTAGTAGAAAGAATAGTAGGTATTGCGTGGGTACTTTGCATTATCCACTCCCTTCGTCTTTAAATTTACAATTCCCAGTAGTTGGCGATCTTTTCGTTCTGTTTAACATGAAGATTATTGTTGTTGGATATCACCACATCAATAAGTGTTGTTTGTCTCTTTAGTTTATTAACTAGTATGAGATCTGGTCTATTGCGTGAAACTTTTATTTTCGGGACGACTGCAGACAAAACTATTAATTTTCAGAATCATTTCATAATCCAACGATATAATTGTATTTATATAAAGCATTTTGTTCTTTTATTTTTTTAGTTTTGCACCACCTGTCTTATAATGAAAATTGCATCTGTTGTTAATCTGTCTTACATATAGCCAAACCGATTATCGGATATTTCGGTTTTTTCATGTGTCAGGTTATTAATAATTACTCTCTCCCATATTTTCCTAGTAGTCCTGTCGGGTTAGAAGAAAAAAAAGGCATAACCTAGCATGGATATGTGTCCCAAATTTTACTACTCTTACTGTACTATTTAGAATTTTATGTTTACTACAAAATAAATTTAAAATCGGGACTACGTTCCGCCGTTGCATTAGCTGCCATCTTGATTTTAAAGGAGAACTGTTTTTGTTCAATATCTCCGCCATTTTCAACTTTCTGAATGTGATGGAGAACACAAGTGCATGCTTCAAAATATTGGCAGCGTGGTCATGCATCAAATGTGCCAACACAGTTATGCGAAAAAGAGACTAGCTGAGTTGTTGCGTAGAATAGTATAGACGCATCTCTATTATCATCATCATTAACAATATCAACGCCATCGTCAGTTGAATTACAGCTATCACCAATATTTGATTTTAAAAACTACTGGTTCAGTTAAGTCCACTCGATTTTGCAAAGCTTTAGATAAAGCTGTTACGTCAAAATTTTGTGCTTCGTATCCGTGAACTACTAGATACTTTAAATAACCATTTAAACAAGCGCAAAAATGGATTGAGACGAGAAATATTGGCACGTATCGACAACCTTAATGTAACTGTTGTTCAAATGCAGTATCATCGAAATTGCTGAAAAAATTTACAAGGCAGTGTGAGGATCTTGAAGATACCATGGACAGAAAAAATCACCAATGAAGAAGTACTGCGGAGGATAAATACAACTTCGGATTTGGTCAACATTGTGAAGGCCATAAGCTGCAGTATGTAGGATATATAATAGGAAATCAAGGCAGACACTACGTATTTCAATGTATTTTACAAGGTAAAATTAAAGAAAAAAGGCCCCAGGACGAAGAAGAATATCCTGGCTTGCTAACCTAAGAGCATGGTCTAGAAAGACCTCAACACAGCTATTTTGTATAGCAACCAACAAAGTCATCATAGCCAGAATGATCGCCAACGTTCGGAACGGACAGGCACTCTAAGAAGAAGAAGGGTGAGGACTGAAAAAGACAAATTTTGTGCGAAATAGACCAAGCAATGGAATACATTAACGGCTATATTGAGAACAATGATGACGATAGTCAATTTAACGTATAATAACTGCAGAAACAGATTAAAGGAGACTTTATTCCACATCGACAGGCAATAAAAAATGAGTACAAGAGCAATACGGTCACGAAATTGTAATGTTTGACTCACTGGGATTAGAAACGAAAAATTGTTTTTGTAATATTGGACATAAAATTCTTTCGCGCGGCTTTTATGATACAAAGCATAAAGCACATATAGGAAAAAATGTTGATGGTTATTCTAAAACATATACGTTCTACACCGTATGATACTAGATATTAACCCGTCCCCCCCCCCTTCAGATAATTTCATAGATAATGTCGATGATTCCATTCCGACTTCGCTTAAGGTGCTAATCGAAGGAATTATTTTGAAATTAAAAAAGGGTTTGTTACAGTCGTGTAACTGTATATGAACATTGGTAAAGTATGAGCATACTTTTTGTTAGTTTTAATTCTTCCCGAATAGTTAGCCATGATCTTGCTCACAAAAACAAATACACGTTCAAACAATAAACGGTTGTTATACAATGTTGCAATCAATTGGGCTGTTGATTCATACATTTTATGTTAACAATGACGCGTAGAGAAGTAAACGTTTCTCGTTAACATTGTGAATCGCTTGAGTAATTATCGCCAAAATTAGATTAAAATATTTCGTCTTTTTTCCCTATTTTTGGCCATTTTATATATATTTGTTTCTCTTTTTCTGATATCAAATTGGTCATATGGATTTGTAAACGCTTCTGCTTTATTTCTTAGTACTGCTACTTTTACTCTCTTTTTGCGAACTGTATAGTTTTAAAGATCTGTGGCCGACATAGATTATTGCTACTGTTTATATAATTTTCTCTTCTCATTTATATTTTGTTTAACTTCGTTTGACTGTCACCAGGTCTCTTTATTCTCAACCTTCTTTCCATATTTTTTAAATATTTCAATATAAATACCTACCTCTAATGATACTGGCTATTTTCCTCCTAATTGTACTAGGACTTCATTTATGTTCTTGCACATTGTTTCTACTAGTTTTACCCTGATTAGGCATTCTTTCTAATCTTTTAACATTTAACAGTTGATTTTTTGTCCAATATTTTGGTTTAGTTTAACGTTTTACTTGCGATCCCCAGCGCAAGCAACTTGTTATTTGCTTACTGTCTAGGTACTGCAAGGTAATAACTAGTACCTTAAAGTCCTAAAATTTATGTAAACCTTCTTTTTTTATTATTAAGTAATGTATTGAGAAATTATTTTGTCCACTTTTGTACGTAATAAGTTTGGTTTGTCTCTTTTGAAAGAGTGTGTTAAGAATGACCATATCTAATGCTGCTGCTAATTCAAGCATATTATCTAAAGCTTTGATTGGCCCAGATATGCATTAAGACTACCTGCTTTATAGGAAAAGCGAAAAATGGGTTTTAAAGGCATATAGGAAGGAGCAAAGAATGTTAAAATGAATCCTGTAAATTCATAGGTACAGTACGTGAACAGTACAGAGATAAAGGAAAATGAGCCTGCGTTAAAGATGCACGAATAATACTAAAGAAGACTTAAAACTATAATAAAAGTAGAAGAGTGTTATTTTGTAATTTTGTAACTTATAAGACAAATTTAATTAGAATTATTGTATTTGTTATATGACTTAGGATTTTAGATAACAAAAATTAAAAACAATCTATTTACATACAGAATTACTGAGGGACAGAAAAATAGATATAAAAAATATATGCACAAAAAACGCAATACACAGAAACAAAAATGAACGGTGTAAATGTCATACTAATTTTATTTACCTAGTTCTGTTTTTTACCTATATGTATCTATTTTAGGAATGGTTATTGGCTCATATTTTTGGGGATGTCTAGCTGACACGAAAGGTAGAAAAATTGTTCTGATTGGAGCTCTTTTAATGGACGGTGCATGCGGACTTTTGTCAAGTATCTCACAAGTATTTTGGCTATTTATGTTGATGAGATTTTTTAATGGCTTTGCGTAAGTACTCTATCAATTCTTTATTTTCCTTTTTATTTTAAATATGTTCCATAAATGATAATAGATCATTTTAGTAAAATATGCTACAACTTAATAATAAAACGGAAAGCTGCAAGTTCCTACGCTTTACAATAACAAATAAAATAACAGAACAAGAGAATAAACAGATAATACTCGGTCAAAATAAAAAAATAACCAAAAATTAAATAAATAAACAAAAGTACTCTCATAGGGTATTTCTTGTATTTTTTTTATCGTTTAGTTAGTTAAGCTTTAAAGTTTTTATAACATCATAAAAAGCTATAAATTGTTTTTTTTTTAAGTATGAACTCTGTTCGTTTTTTATTTAAAGTCTAAGATCATTTTTATTTCTAGAGAACTTATGACGCTTTTAAAAAAAGAATAAAAGTGACACGTATTCTATTAAATCAATGAAGTATCTAGTTGACAACTTTCATTAAAAATTTGCCAATTACTGACCGATCAAACCGCTGCATTTCAACCATTGAATATATTAATATATATATATATATATATATATATATATATATATATATATATATATATATATATATATATATACATCGAGAAAAGGAGTACGACCATCAATCCAATATAAATTAAGGATCACTCGAAGAGTGGTGGGTTTTCGGTCAAAAGGTGGAGAGAAAAAAGACAAAGAAGGTGGCTATTTCATCTATTTATTGAAGACGTTTCGCTTTCTAATCAGAAAGCATCATCAGTTTTGATAATAGTATATCAGATATAATAGTCGTAAGTGAAATGTCATTGGTACCTTAAATAAGATATTTAGAAAAAGTTATATTAGAAATTATGGTACAGCTAAAAAGTCGTACTTCCAAAGAACAGATATGCGCAGTTGAATATTCGACAGACCGAAAATGGTAAACGATTGCATCTTCATCCTGTCCGGTTATTGTGAATAAAATATTAAGACAAAATTTTATCAAGAGGGAAACATTTATTACATCTTATACTATGTTGTGGTGATCCTCCAACTCAAGGTGATATGAATCTTATTAGATCTAATACCTACTTAATAAACTGTAAACAGTTTAAAAGAAAAGTGAGGTTATGTTAGGATTCAAATTGTAGAAAATTAATTACAATTAATTAATTTTCTACAATAGTTTATTTATTATTCTAATAATTATTATTCCACTAAATTATCTTCTAAATAAAAGTCTATACGACCAGCACGACATCCCTTCTTCGCTCTGTTTCGTATCTTCTGCGCCTGTCAGAATTTTACATTAATCTATTCAAATCAACTACCCTTAACGCCACTTCGTTTTTGCTTTTTTAAATAGAAGGACGTAAGTCAAATCATTTTCTCAGCTTCTCAAATAGAAGCAAGTTATTGTTTTCACGCTTCTCAAATAGAAGCAGTTTTCAAATAACACATTTTATTAAATAGTTGATGAAATTAAACTCAGTGTCTGTGCATCAAATATGTAAGTACCTGAAATCATTCTTTTATACAAAAGAGAATGTACAATTTTGTGCCAACATTTCATAAATGCCGGTCCGAAAAATTACGGGGTTGTCGGATTTTCAATAAACTACATATAAACTTTATTGTTCTATAACTTAATATAAACGGTTGTGTGTTTAAGAACATTTTATATAAACATTTATATTTTATTATTATAAAAAGGGTGATTTGTTGGCGATTCTGCTTTTTCTATTTATTTTTGTAAATAATATAATAAAAATATTTCTAGCTCTTATTCTTATTTTACTTATTCTACTGTTTTTTTACTACTCACTACATTATTACTAATCCGAAATTTTGGGACCTATGGTCGCTGTTCCTTCGAGGTTTTATTTATTTTTTATCTACCAAATGTAGGAAGATGAGATCATAATTTTTCAAATACTAACTTTTAATTCATCAAACCAGCTATCTCATCCTTTCCCCTACACAAATATATTTGCCAAAATATTGTGAATATATATATTATATTATAGAGATTTTGGTGATGGCGATCCTGAATATATTCTGTCCAATAAGAAAATGATAGTACCGATTCAAAAGCAGACAGAAACGGAGAAAATAAGTTACTTACTGAGGGGAGAAATGAAGAAGGAAAAGAATACACCATAAGTAATAAATAATAAAATAGTACAATAAGGCCTGAAAAATGTAAAACAAACGAGCACAATTGGAAGGTATCAAAAAGGGTTAAAGCAACATTATCGAGAAACGAACTACTCCAAACTAAGGAAATTAAATACAAAATAGGCATATTTGTAGCAAGGAGCAAGGAGATATATTTAATAATTATTGGAATGAAACTATAATTAATATTTATTGTTGTGATTTCAAATGACAATTTATACTCACCAGGGTGAATAGTGTAACAATAAAACGTAAAAGGCCGTAGATAGTAGAAGAAATAACCAGAGACAACAAACGATCCATTATAATTATGAGGTTTATGGTCAAATTGTAGAGGTTTGTAAAATATTTATTCTCAATACACTGGGTATATCTGAGACCGTTGTAAAAATTGCTTTAAAAAATCAGAATTAGACGGTTTCGCATTAAATGATATGCAAGCAAAGCATATTCTGAAGAATGAATACCAGATGATGTTAAAGAATGAGTTCGTAGCCGTATTCGATTATTCTCAATATAAGAAAGTCGCAACAAAATAAAAAGACAATATCTTGGAAGCGAACTTAGTATTGACAAAATGTGTAATCTTCATACAATTAAATGTGAATAAGATGGTTTAGAAAAAAGTGAGATAGTCAAATCGTGACTTTAATAGCCATATTTTTTAAAAAGACTTTATTCTTGGTTTTAAAATGCCATCCAATGACACTTGTAATGTGCGTCATAGTCTTACTATACTACAAAAAATAAAATCAGCAGATGAGCGAGCAGCGTAGCAGCAATTCAAAAAAAAAGTTTATTGCCAAAAATTGTTTAGATGCTGATATTCGATATACCGATAAAAAAATGACAAAATAAGTTTCTCTGAAAATACAAAAGTTGTATGCTAGATTTCAAAAAGTGTCTACCCATTGCCTATCTATCTAAATCAAAAACCTTTTATTGCTTTGGACTTTAAATATCACCATTTATAATACTACAGAAAAGAAGTCATGTTGTATAATGTGGAATAAATCTATTGCTGACAAAAATGGTAACGAAATATCGTCGGCCATATTAAAGTGGGCAGAAGAAGTTGTAAAACTTTTAATTATAGAGACCTTTATAATTTCATCAGAGAACTATCCAAGTTAAAACAGAAATACTGTCATGGCGGTTTTACTTTACAATTACTTTTTTTTATGAATGTTTGTATAAAAAACAAGCGTCCATAAGTTTCTACTTAAAGGTCCTATCCACATAAATGCAGACCATGTTCATAGTCTCATTAAACGTACTCTAAAGAAGCAATCAGCATTGAGTGTTATAACACCATCAGATTGGCAGCAGTTTATAATATCGGTAGGAGTTTCAGCTTGAAATATAGAACTAAATGACTTTAATATATTGTATATCTTCATAGGTTCCATTTGTTAGCCGAAAAATAAATACTGAAAAGCAAAGTTTTCTGATCGTTTCGGTAGTGTGGCTACATTGTACATCGTGATAGCACCGAGATAGCTCTGCTTTATTACAAAACAGAATTTACCGATACACAATAAAAAAAGGGTATTTTCTTGGGAATAATCCACAATTTAAATTTAAAATAAGTTTATTGACGTTTCAATTTCCACTTCGGAAATTGTTTTTAAATTTAAATAAATAGGTTCTCTAATCAGACAGATGCATAACCCCATCCCTAAGAGAAAACTAACGGATAATTAATAGAAGAATATACGACAAGGAAACTTACAGGGTTACTTGCTTCTCGTCTAGGGGCCCATCAAGACATTCTTAGTAGACAAACAAAACTGGACCACGGATAAGGTGTTATAACATTTAGGATAAACAAAGGATTCAAATCTAAACTTCCACATCAAGAAATCTATAATGATATTATATATTTGTTATGAGCCTGTAGCCAGTAGCGACTAGATATTGAATGGTGCATACATATTAAATTCTATTAATTTTTTGTAGAGAGAGATTGAATGCTATTGAAACTTAGGATATTCAAAAAAGATGTGATCAAGATCATTCAGGTTTCCGTGATGTTTGCAATTATCATCTTCAATCACATTTATTTCATATAAATGACTTGGATAGCACGCATATCCAAAGTGTAGTCTATTTATAGTGGTTATGTATTTACATGAAGATTTAAAATTCTTAAACTAAGTAGTTTGTGGAATAACTGGTTGTAAAGTATTGTACCTTGTATAGTCTGTAAAGCAGTAAAGATTCTATTGATCTGTTGATAGCTGGTTTTTTTAAATCTTAATGGAATCTGATACATATAAAGAATATGACAATAAAGTACAGATATTAATTATACTGGTTTTAGCTAAGTAATATTTGAGTCTAATATGTGCCTTAACCCAAATCAATTTTATATTAAAGTCAGAGTCTGCTAAGTGTTTTATTGATTCGTTTATTAAAAAAATATAAAGATTACTAAATGTTTTGGACAAAAAAGTGTTTTTTGTTCTGTAGAACTACAAGACAGTCTTAAGAGTTTTTAACATATTTCAAACCTTCGAGTATGACCAATGATTCGGGCGAGAAAATTGAAAACTCGTTGAAAAGTGTGTACTTAAATTCAGAACCCTCATGAGGAATGAGATGTATATTTGCAAATTATGTATGTCAGAGGTATATATATTAAATAAAATTGGCGATAATACAGATCCTTGTGGTATGCCGTGATAGTTGTTTCGAGGTCTTATTAGTTTGTCATTATGATCGTAGATTACCCTGTTTATATGAACGGATAAGGAAATTATTCTTTTATTGAAAACGTTTCGTGTATTAATTCATACACATAATTAGTTATGCAGCTTATTAAGATGTAAGTGACGAAATGATTAAATTTACGAAC